AAACGGCGAACGCGCAACGACCTGGAATCGACGGCCGAAGCGTCATCTTCGTGCGCGACGACGATATCATATGTGCCGTTGAACCGCAGTTGCAATCAGCGCAAAACGGTCAAAGTGTGTTGCGTGTTGCGTACCGAGGACGATTGGTCGACGTTTCGACGATTGTTCGCCACTGCCGCGAAGCTTCATTCGTGGTCGACGATACCGAGCGCCGACGGTGGTATTCGAGAATGCGCTCGGGACGAGCGTCTCGACGATTCCTCGACCGAGAGTCGCATTCTTGCGATCGGCAGCATCGAAAGGAGAACTCTGCTCGCCGGTGATATCTTGTCGGAGGTCGCCCTATTGCCGAAATTCGTGTTCGTCAGTGGCAAGAGCTATGTGTACGTAGGAGCGAACAGCACCGGTCTGCCGCACATGTCTCGACTCGAATGCAACGGCGCTCGATTGTTTCGACTCGCGTACATGGCGAACTTTGTTCCACGCGTACCACGAGAGCGACGAGTCCTTCGACATGAGACAATTCGGTGCGCGCTATCGTCACATGCAAGCTCTGATGTTTATTCTCGCGCTTGTGAACGCGGAACTGTTCGTCGTTAGCGACGGGCGCAATGCCAATTTGGTGTTGAACATGCAGAGTCTCGGCAAATCGTACGACGACGTAGGATTGCATTTTTTTCCGAAAACAGTATTCAGTGTTACGTCCCGGTCGGCCGCGGCTGCGATGCTAGGCTGCAGGTGCTCGGGCCTGGACGCGGGGCTAGATCGCAGTTTTTGGGTCAAACGAATCGCGTGATTATCCCCAGGGATACGCGCGATCTGGCGGGCACGACACGATGTTCCGCGGAGTATACAGCAATTGGCACTCACCAGTTCCTTTAATCCAATGTAATAATTTGGCACGCCTGTATCATGGAGTTGCGCACGTGCCCACGAAGTTGTTCGAGGGTCGGAGTTTTCTCGTTACAGGTGCGGAGGGTGTGAGGCGGGGTAGATGCTCCGTAGTAGTAGTGGAGGATCTCTGCACGCAGTCGACGGTAGAAGGCAGGCCTCGGGTCTCGTGGCGAGAATCCGCGTCGAATGATCGGTAGTCGCGGATGGGTATCACAATCGATCTTGCTAACACTGTATGATTTGCGAGCGGTAGCTTTCGGGTGCTCTGGCACGGGCGACTGAGGAGATTCTGGAGAGCGAGGGGGTTCAGTGGAGCGAGGATGCCCCTTGTCGGGAGCGGAGTTGGTGGGTTCGACACCTAGGTAAGGGTGGTACGCTTGTCCATGTTTTAGTTGGTATTCCAATTTTTTGATGAATTTTTTACGACCACCCCGGCGTACAGGGCGCATTTGGAATCATTCCTGTGACTCCGGCCAGCCGTATTCGTGTGGTTAATTCGGAGGTCCCTATTCTGTCAGGCGGTGCGATCGAGTCGCAACCTATGCGCCTTCGAGCAACTAGTAGACGGTGCGATCGAGCCGCAACCTGTACGTCTACGGATGGGCGATGCGATCGAGCTGCAGCCTATACGCCCCTATTCTAGTGATGCGAATACCTTGAAGAAACGGCGGCCAGTTATCAGCTAGGCGATTCCAATGCGTTAGCGGTCGGGGATGGGAGGAGATGGGAGAGCGAATCTAACCTTGAATCGGCTAACAAGAATATATTTTAACTAAAACGCATACACGAAAATATTCTAAGTTAGATTTAGTGAAAATATTCTAAGTTCACATTCACGAAAATATTCTAAGTTAAAACTCACGAAAATATTCTAAGTTAGATTTAGTAAAAATATTCTAAGTTCACATTCACGAAAATATTCTAAGTTAAAACTCACGAAAATATTCTAAGTTAGATTTAGTAAAAATATTCTAAGTTCACATTCACGAAAATATTCTAAGTTAAAACTCACGAAAATATTCTAAGTTAGATTTAGTGAAAATATTCTAAGTTCGCATTCACGAAAATATTCTAAGTTAAAACTCACGAAAATATTCTAAGTTAGATTTAGTGAAAGTATTCTAAGTTCACATTCACGAAAATATTCTAAGTTAAAACTCACGAAAATATTCTAAGTTAGATTTAGTGAAAGTATTCTAAGTTCACATTCACGAAAATATTCTAAGTTAAAACTCACGAAAATATTCTAAGTTAGATTTAGTACTTATATTAGACCCTAGGAGGGATGGAGGAAGCACTGCACCAGATCACTGCACGACTGAGACTGACTCTCGGGCGCTCCGCGGTCCCTGAGCTGCGGCTTTCCCGAGCCGCCGAATTTTCCTCTGGAGTGGGAAGGTAGTGGGGGTTTGGAAATTAGATCTTAGAAAATTTCGGTGCGGAGGGACTTAGAAAAATTCTCGGCCGAGGGACTTAGAAAAGTTTTGGGTTGAGGGACTTAGAAAATTTTAGGTTCGAAGGACTTAGAAAATTTTATGTTCGAGGGACTTAGAAAAGTTTTGGGTTGAGGGACTTAGAAAATTTTAGGTTCGAAGGACTTAGAAAAATTTTATGTTCGTGGGACTTAGAAAAGTTTTGGGTTGAGGGACTTAGAAAAATTTAGGGTCGAAGGACTTAGAAAATTTTATGTTCGAGGGACTTAGAAAAGTTTTGGGTTGAGGGACTTAGAAAAATTTAGGGTCGAAGGACTTAGAAAATTTTATGTTTGAGGGACTTAGAAAAATTTGTAGTTAGGGGACTTAGAGAAATTTTAGGTTCGAGGGACTTAGAAAAATTTGTGGTGATTCCAGGGATAGGAGAGAGAGGAAATAAAGAAGAGAGAAGAAAAAAAAAATTTTGTGTGGTGCTTCCTCTTACAATTGGTAGTGCGGATGTGACACCTCCCCCCTTATCAGAAAATGTCGGTCGTCATTGAACCGACGTTTTCTGGAGATATGTATATATGTACTTATTCTAAATGTCGCTTTAGTGTCTGGTTTGGCGTATTTCGCTCAGATAGTTATTTAGTTCGCTGTAACTTTTTGTTGGGGCACTTGCAATTCGCGCTTCATTTTCACTGTTAGTGTCTCGTGCGTTGTTGGCTGCCTCGGTTTTGGGATGTACTAATACTTCCAAGGCTGCTTCTTCTTCTCTGGGCTGTTCGTTCTGCTGGGTCTTCCCGCGTCCTCCAAGGTGGATCAGCAGGTGAATGAGTGAGCTCCAGATTGCGCCTAATAGGTGGAGACTCCATCCGTATATCGAATGGAGTGCGTAGCCTCTTATAATGGAGTCGACTACCAATTTGGCTAGTCGGATCAGGAGTATGATACTTAGGATGCCTGCGCTTGCTGAACCGAATGTGATGAAGCCTTTCCATAGGCGTGCTCCTGCGCTCTCGGCGATTTTTTCCAGAGATTCTTCGTCCAGCATATTATACAGGGAGATGGTTCCGGCTGGGACCTTTCTTCCCATGGCTCCTTGTGCTAAGGTGCTGATGATTGCAGGTTTCTCCACTGGGAACATTATGTGGTTCCTGAGTCGGTCTAGGTCGTCGGCGGAGTATATTCCGCTGGTCGCCAGGTTGGAAGGGTTTATGTACTTCCAGGTAGGCTTGGTAAGAGGTTGGATTACGGGAGGTGCGATTGATTCCACTGGTCGTGGCATCATTTTATACCAGGCCTCCTCGATATTGTACATCGGAGGTAACAACTCGTTGCATTCCCTCGTGCCGGATTTGGTAAGGATGCGTGAGCGCAGTGTCAGGAAATATGAGGCGTTGTTGTAAGTTACTGGAAGTTCGTTGTAGCAACGCTCTGCTTGGGGGATTTTGCACGTGACTGGGATACATTTAATTATATATATGACTTCTCCGGAGGTCACTGCCGTGTATCCGTGGCTTTTCATTAGGCGGTGCGCCATTTCGTCCGGGGCGATGCTAGATAAGGATAGTGCGTTTTCTAGGATTTGCCTTTCCAGCGCGCATTTCTGTATCATGATGTCCTTGTAGAGTTTCGTCAGTTGGTTTTTCATGTGACGTTCGATGTAGATAAATTTGGAGTTCACGTAGGCGAACATGTCTAGGTTGTCTATTGCGATGTTGGATTTTTCCTTGAAAGTCCGTCCTCTCGAGGTTTCGAGAATAAAGAGTTTTGGGTGTTCTGTGTGCATGATTTTGTACCCGCAGAGGTTTGATTCTGAGGTTTTGGCGAGGGCGAATGTTGCATCGTTGTTAGTAACTGTGTAGATGGTGGGTCCATCCCCTTGTCCGGGTGAAGGGGATAGTTTGTGCGCGAAGCCTTCGTAAAGTATATCGTATCTGTCGAAATTACAATTATCCTTGGGTGTGGATTTCCAGTATGTAGTGGTCCCGTCGGCGTCGAGGCATTCCCGGCTGGTGGCTTTGCAGCGGATTCCCGAAGGTAGTATGACTTCGTTGGCCATTATTTTGATGGGGACCAGGAAGTCTCGTAAGGTTATCCGGACGCTAGCCTGGACAATGGCGCTTTCCCACGTTCCGAATGGGTCAGTATAGGCGGCTCCTTGACAGGCGCCGTCGTTTTGTAATGATCCAGCGAGGGTCAGACTCCGTGACGTAGTTGAGTTTCTTTTTAAACCGTCAATTAGGATGTCGTTTCCCAAAATGATAGCTCCTGTTTCCTGGGACTTCCTGCAGGCTTCTTCGGAGATTTCTCTTATATAGCTCCGTTTTCCTCCGGGGACAGTGGATACATGGGACCACATTCCACAGCGGTAGATTATGCGGTCGACTTCTAGGCGGCATTGAATGGCCTCGGTGTGGGTGAAGTCGTTGAATTGCATTAGCTGTAGGTAGACCTCTTCTTTCTTAGGTTCGACGTCGTCAACGTGGCATTCGGCAATGTCGGTTAATGAGAGCGATGTAATGTTTAATCCTTCTCCTCCACAGTCGTATCCCAGGAGGGAGGTTGCAGGCTCGGTTCCGAAGGCAGCGAAGAGGGCGAGGACTGTCAGGAGGTGCATCCTGGTGCGAGGCTCGTGGTGTACTGATGTGTGCCCTTCGTCGCGTCGTTCTGCCTTGTGTCCTGGTGTTAGCAGTGGGGGTTGCTGGCCTGTGGTCGGAGAGGGGGGCCTTTGGCCTTATCTAGACGCAACTTATTACTATGGACGATTTTCGTCTGGTTTTCGCTTATACTAATGCGTATGTTATTATTTCGTAATACTTCTAGTACTCGGTATGGGCCCGAGTATTGGTCTCCTAGCTTACCCTTGCTGGGTTCTTTCAGTAAGTACACGCAGCTTCCTACTCTGAAATTCTGAGGGTTTAAGTTTCGATCATGGTAGCGTTTGCTACGGGCCTTGGCTCCGCAGAGATTCTCGCGAGCGAGTTCCTGTGTGGTTTTTAGGCGATTGAACAGCGTAGTTAAGTAATCCTTGTATGTTTCGCTTAAGTTATCCTCGATAGGTGGGTCGCTAGACGGTGTTCGCACGCTTTTCCCGAAGACTAGCTCGTGTGGCCTATAGAAGGTCCCTTCGTGCACGCTTGAGTTATACGAGAACATTGCGAGATTAAGGAATTCGTCCCATTCGTGTTGCGTATTGGTGTATTGCTTCAGATACTCCCACAAGACGTGGTGGCTGCGTTCTATGGACCCGTTTGATTGTGGGTGGTACGCGGTAGTCTTGCACTGGTTGATCTTAAATTTTCAGGCCACAGCCTTGATGAGGCTGTTAATGAAGTGAGAGCCTTGGTCGGTTAGAACTGCTTTTGGTGCGCCGTATAGGCAGATGAAATTGTTTATGAACGCGTCTGCTACGTCTAACGCGGAGGCTTGTCTCAGCGCGATGGCGGTGGAGTATTTGGTTAGTAGGTCTTGTATTGTGAGGATGTAGGAATTGCCGGAGGAAGTGGTGGGGAGTGGGCCCATGATATCCATTGAGATTTTCTCGAACGCTTCCCTTGGGGTGTCCGTGATGACCATGGGCTGCTTTGTTTTTACTCTTACTAGTTTCTTTAATTGGCAACTTCTGCAGTTGCGGATGAATTCCTGTATTTCTTCCTTCAAATTGGGCCATTGATATTTTTCCTTGATGCGCAAGTACGTCTTTGTCACTCCTTTGTGTCCTCCGATCATGCTGGAATGGCATTCCTCTAGAATCCTTCTCCTATCTCCCGGGGGTGGTACCTGAATTTGGTTGTTGCATAGGAGGATTTTGGTCGGGTCGCCCTCAAATGTTTGTTGCAGCAGGTTGCGGATGGTGTCGGAAGGTACGTTTTCTAAGTCGCCCTTGTATAGTGACACGGAGTTGAGTTGAAGCTCTTGACGGACATCTCGTAGGGATTGTATGGCCTCGCGAAGGATCTCTATGTCTAGTTGCGTGATTTTACGCTCTTTGATCACCAGGGATATGATTTTTGGTTCCTTCTCCGTCGTTACACTCGCTCTTCCCAGCGTTTGGCTGTGTAACGCAGGTAGCAAGTCATGTTCCTGGAGCAGTCTAGCTCCTTTATCGCAGGGGTCGCCCTTTTGGGTGACGAATACGGCCTTGTGGTCTTTTCGCAATAGGAAATTGTCTTTGATCTCGGTTATATTTTCGTTACGCAGTACGTATGGTTCATTTACTTGATCGAATATCTCGGTTTCTGGGCTGGGCGTGCTGTCTGTTGTACTGCTGTCATCGGTGTCGGTTTCTGAGTCGTCGGGGTGATCGTCGTGGTGATCGTCGGGGTCGTGTGCGTCTAGTGGTTGGTCTTGCGAATTCTCTTCTTGTCGTTGTGGGTCGGGTCGCGGGGAAAAGATAGATTCATCGGAACTGGAGACGTCAAGTTCAGGGGCGAGGGGGAATAGGCGTATTTCGGCGGGGTTCCTGGACCGGCTAGGTCTAAGAATTGTTTTATGTTTTTCGCGTTTCTTGGCCGTGGGAAGTCTTTAACCGCGATAATTTTCTTAGGGTCGGGCTTTACCCCGTTTTCCCCTATTACGTGTCCGAGATAGGATACCTCCTTTCGCAGGAACTCGCATTTGTCCGGTTGTAGATGAAGATTCGCGACGCGTAAGCGTTGTGCTAGCTTCGCGAATTTGGCTGAGTGCTCTTCGAGTGAGCTCGCGTATATAACAATGTCGTCGAGGTAGACGAACAGTTCGGTTCCTTGCAGGCCGGTCAGAACTTGATCCATGAGGCGTTGAAAGGTAGCTGGCGCGTTTTTCAGACCGAATGGCATTCTATTGAATTGATAGTGCCCATGGGGCGTGGAAAAGGCTGTTTTTGGCGCATCGTCCTCATGCATCGCGATCTGATGGAAGCCTGAAGCGAGGTCGAATATACTGAAATATTTCGCGCTGCCGAGTTGGTCGAGTATTTCGGTTATGTTGGGGAGCGGATACGCGTCTCCCACGGTTTTTTCGTTTAGCGCTCTATAGTCTATTACCATTCGCCAACGCTTGTTACCTTGGGTGTCGGCCTTTTTGGGCACAATCCACAAGGGGGAGTTGTATGGTGAGTTCGAAGGTTTGATAACCTTGTTTTTTAGCAAATCTTGAATTTGTTTATCAATTTCCTCCTTGTGTATTGGCGGATATCTATACTGTTTGGTGTTAATTGGAGTGTTGTCGGTGGTAGTTATTCGATGTTTGGTCGCTGAGGTACATTGTAGTTGTTCGTCGGGTAGGTGGAACAAGTCGCTGAATTCGTTCAGTAGTTCCTTTACGTTTTTTACTTCGGGCTCGTTTAAATGGTCGAGGCGCAGCAGGTTTAGGAGCCTCGAGCGTCGAGTGTCTCTTTGTTTATACGTGTCTGTTGCATCATCGACCGCTGTGCTTGAGAGCATGTGTTGTGTATCGCGAGGTTCGCCTGGAAGGCCTAGGCGTTCGGGCGTATTCGCTTGGGAGACAAAGGGCTGTTTTGTTTTGTGGCGACGCGCAGGCATGTCAGTCCCTAGGGTAGGCGTGCGTGCGCGTTGGATCCCTTTATCTCTGGCCGGGGAGCCCCCGAGTTCCGGTTGACGCGACGTCGAGGGGTCTCCGGTTAATATCTCTACTTCCTCTAGTTCGACCGTAGGAATAGGGAATTTGCATTCTGTTTCTCCGGCGTTTACGATTCCTACATACGCTAAATCGTTTCGATTTGACACGACGGCGTCTCCTAGGAACACGTCGTCGCGAATTGTAATTCGAGGGATATACCTTTCCCTAGGGCTTGGGTTTAGGATTTTAAGCGGCAATACCCCGCGCGTTATCGCCGGTACGGTAACCAACGTATTATTCGAAAGAGGAATGGGCACTCCTTGCCACGTGAGAATTTGGTTTTTAAAGTCGATGGACCCCGCGTCCTTTAGGAAGGCGGATCCTAGGATTCCTTCCTGTGCGATTGGGAAATCGTCCTTGATTACATGGAGTTTAATAGGGAAACCCATGTATTTAATAGTAGTAGACCCCAGAGTGGGGATGCTTCCCGCGGTGATCCCTTTTAAGAGTAGCGTGTCGATGGGATTTATTTCGTTATTTCAAGTTAGTGTTCCCTTTTTTATTAAATTTGGTGCGGCCCCGGTGTCGATCATGAAGGTTATCGTGTCCGTTAGGCCATCGGCCTTCATTGTAGCTGTGGGGGCGTATCAAAATTCGCGGGGGTTTAGGACCGCGATTTTTGCTGAGGTGAATCTTCCACTGTTATATTGCGTATCGGACGAGTGGGTGTCTGGGAGTTTCCCACTCGGGGTGCGTCCGTATTCCCCGAGGGGCGTGCGGCGTTTCCCTGGTCCCGTCGCGAATTGTTGTATTGGCGTTTACGACATTCTTCGATTTCGTGCCCGATGTTCTTACAATAGCGGCACCATTTTGTGTTCCGGTCCGTCATCGAATTTCGAGGTCATGGCGGAGGTGGCGAAAATCGAGGGGCTGGGGGTGTTCGGTTATACCAAGCATGAGGGCCCCTGGGATCAGCGTAGTCCCTGGCGGGATTGCTCCTAGACGCGGGTGTTGATCCGTTGCGATTCGTGTTGGGACTATACCCGGGCTCGTGCTTGATCGGAGTCGAATGAGCAATCGGTTTGTCAATTATGCGTACGTCGTTGGATCGTGGTCGTACGTTATTCCGGCGCGCGGCGTCTTCTCGTTCCTGGTCGAGTGTATCCCGCCTTGCGAGTGACTTAGCGAACGCGAATGCCTCGAATGGTTTACGGTAGTGCTCGGGTCTTAGCAAGTAACGATACTGTCGCGGCAGTCCATCGCAGAATGCGTACGCGGTTGCTTCGTCAATTTGTCTAATTAGTTTTTCGTCTAACATCCCTCTTTCCATGCGTTCGCATTCTAGCACGGATGCGCGAAGTTCCTTTACGCGGATGACGTAGTCTGTCATGTCCTCGTTGGGATCTTTGAAGACGGTATAGAGTTCGCCTTTACAGTGATAGATTGATTTACTGGAGCCAAAGGTGGCTCTTAACGCGTCGAGGAGCTGCGTGACCGAATCGCATGGTTCGTCCTCTATCGCGGCGTAGGCCTTCCCTCGCAGTCGGTTGACGAGGAGGCGTGCGAGGTTTCGTTCGGCGGACGGGGGAACGATGTCTCTAGCGCGTCTACAGGCTCGCGCGAATTGCGCGTAGCTCACGTTGTATCCGTCGTAGTGTGGTACCGATTCGAGCGCGTCCTTGAATGTTACACGGGGGATCTCGAGGGAGTAGTCATGCTGGAGGCTATGAGGCACACTAGTGGCGTCGAAGTAGGGGGCGATAGGGGGTGACGGTCCGTCTTTTGGAGGTTCCCGCTGGAGTGAGGCTATGTCGCGCAACATTTCTTCGTTAATGCGGCCTTGGTCGGCTGTACGGTCGTGCGATGTTTCTCTACGCGACATTTCCGATTCGCGGTCGTGGAGGGCGGCTTCCCTCTGTTCGATACGTCGCCGAGCAAGCTCGCGTTCTCGTTCAAATGATTCGCGTTCCCTACGCACAGCGTCGGATTCTCTTTGTACTTGCAGTTCCTTTTCCCGGATGTGCTGAGACAGAAGTTCTGCTTCTTCCTTGCTGTAGATCTCATCCGGTTTGTCGGGTTATCGGTCTTTTTACTACGAGTCGCCATCGGGGCGGATGATTTTGTTTCAATCGCGTTTCAGTAGCGGTGATCCAGTGGGTTTGCTTAATTAATCGCGGGGTTCGCGTCGTGAGCCCTTTTCGTATCCCACCGCTGTCACCAATTTTATGTTACGTCCCGGTCGGCCGCGGCTGCGATGCTAGGCTGTAGGTGCTCGGGCCTGGACGCGGGGCTAGATCGCAGTTTTTGGGTCAAACGAATCGCGTGATTATCCCCAGGGATACGCGCGATCTGGCGGGCACGACACGATGTTCCGCGGAGTATACAGCAATTGGCACTCACCAGTTCCTTTAATCCAATGTAATAATTTGGCACGCCTGTATCATGGAGTTGCGCACGTGCCCACGAAGTTGTTCGAGGGTCGGAGTTTTCTCGTTACAGGTGCGGAGGGTGTGAGGCGGGGTAGATGCTCCGTAGTAGTAGTGGAGGATCTCTGCACGCAGTCGACGGTAGAAGGCAGGCCTCGGGTCTCGTGGCGAGAATCCGCGTCGAATGATCGGTAGTCGCGGATAGGTATCACAATCGATCTTGCTAACACTGTATGATTTGCGAGCGGTAGCTTTCGGGTGCTCTGGCACGGGCGACTGAGGAGATTCTGGAGAGCGAGGGGGTTCAGTGGAGCGAGAATGCCCCTTGTCGGGAGCGGAGTTGGTGGGTTCGACACATAGGTAAGGGTGGTACGCTTGTCCATGTTTTAGTTGGTATTCCAATTTTTTGATGAATTTTTTACGACCACCCCGGCGTACAGGGCGCATTTGGAATCATTCCTGTGACTCCGGCCAGCCGTATTCGTGTGGTTAATTCGGAGGTCCCTATTCTGTCAGACGGTGCGATCGAGCCGCAACCTGTGCGTCTACGGATGGGCGATGCGATCGAGCTGCAGCCTATACGCCCCTATTCTAGTGATGCGAATACCTTGAAGAATCGGCGGCCAGTTATCAGCTAGGCGATTCCAATGCGTTAGCGGTCGGGGATGGGAGGAGATGGGAGAGTGAATCTAACCTTGAATCGGCTAACAAGTATATATTTTAACTAAAACGAATACACGAAAATATTCTAAGTTAGATTTAGTGAAAATATTCTAAGTTCACATTCACGAAAATATTCTAAGTTAAAACTCACGAAAATATTCTAAGTTAGATTTAGTGAAAATATTCTAAGTTCACATTCACGAAAATATTCTAAGTTAAAACTCACGAAAATATTCTAAGTTAGATTTAGTAAAAATATTCTAAGTTCACATTCACGAAAATATTCTAAGTTAAAACTCACGAAAATATTCTAAGTTAGATTTAGTAAAAATATTCTAAGTTCACATTCACGAAAATATTCTAAGTTAAAACTCACGAAAATATTCTAAGTTAGATTTAGTGAAAATATTCTAAGTTCACATTCACGAAAATATTCTAAGTTAAAACTCACGAAAATATTCTAAGTTAGATTTAGTGAAAGTATTCTAAGTTCACATTCACGAAAATATTCTAAGTTAAAACTCACGAAAATATTCTAAGTTAGATTTAGTACTTATATTAGACCCTAGGAGGGATGGAGGAAGCACTGCACCAGATCACTGCACGACTGAGACTGACTCTCGGGCGCTCCGCGGTCCCTGAGCTGCGGCTTTCCCGAGCCGCCGAATTTTCCTCTGGAGTGGGAAGGTAGTGGGGGTTTGGAAATTAGAACTTAGAAAATTTCGGTGCGGAGGGACTTAGAGAAATTCTCGGCCGAGGGACTTAGAAAAGTTTTGGGTTGAGGGACTTAGAAAATTTTAGGTTCGAAGGACTTGGAAAATTTTATGTTCGAGGGACTTAGAAAAGTTTTGGGTTGAGGGACTTAGAAAAATTTAGGGTCGAAGGACTTAGAAAATTTTATGTTCGAGGGACTTAGAAAAATTTGTAGTTAGGGGACTTAGAGAAATTTTAGGTTCGAGGGACTTAGAAAAATTTGTGGTGATTCCAGGGATAGGAGAGAGAGGAAATAAAGAAGAGAGAAGAAAAAAAAAATTTTGTGTGGTGCTTCCTCTTACAATTGGTAGTGCGGATGTGACATCAGCACGTGAAACGAGTCAAATGCGAGTTGAACGAAGGCGAACTTGCCGGCGCTGTCAAGTTATCTACCAACGGACACTTGGTCAATCGATGCCTCGGCACAGTGTCCGGACTGGATATCAACGCGGTCGCGCTGACGCGGCGAGTCGTGTAACACGCTACAGTGTCGAAAAAATCGCAGCGACATAATTATAAGTAAGCGGTACCGCTCGGTCGGCGAAACGTACAGAGAGCACACGAAGAGCGAAAATGAACAGAGCGCGCGATTCGCTCGGTCGTTTCGCAAAACGACGAAAAGTCGCGAAGTTACCGTCGTTCGATTCCGACTCGGATTCGTTCGGACCGGTTCTCGCTGGAACACGACGACGAAGAGTCGCGAAGTTACTGTCGTCCGATTCAGACTCGGATTCGACCGGACCGGTTCGCGCTGGAACGCGATGAAGCGTCTCGAAGTTACCGTCGTCCGATTCGGAGCGTGCCGAACGCGCAGCGACCACACGTAAACGAGGCGTAGACCCGCGACCGGAGAATCCGAACGATAGCTCGCTCGAGTCGATTGTTCTGAGTTCTCGCACGCCCGCGCGTTCTCGCACGCGGGTTCGCAGGATCGAGGCTTCGAATTCAAACTTTGAGCAATCGACGCGACCCGTCGGACGTCGCGTGTTCACCGAAGCCTATTCGGACGTGACGAACCTTCG